ACATTTATCAATACTTATTAGAAATCGTCATCAAAAATATGATGCACGGTCCATGTGAATTACTCAACAAAAATTCACCATGCATGTCTGATGGGAACTGCACAAAAGATACCCAAGAGATTTAAATTGCTGAGACTTTCACTGGCAATGATGGCTATCTAATGTATCGTCGACGATCAACTGAAGGTGGTGGCAAATCAATTACTTTAAAAATACGAAACAATGATGTCGAAGTGAATAATCGTTGGGTTGTACCGTATTCATCGTTACTCTCGAAAACGTTAAAAGCACACATCAGTGTAGAGTATTGCAATTCGGTGAAATCGATCAAGTACATTTGCAAATATGTTAAGAAAGGAATGATATCAGTTTTTGGAGTGGAAAATAAATCTGGATCAATCGATGAAGTCTACCAATATCAACGTGGACGCTACATTAATAGCAATGAAGCAGTATGGTGCATTTCATCATTTCCAATCTATGAACGCCATCCAACAGTTGTTCATTTGGCAGTGCACCTTGAAAACGGAGAGCGAGTGTACTTTACAACAGAAAATGCACGTGTAAGAGCAGTGTCACCTCCGTCAACAACGTTAACTGCATTTTTCTCATTGTGCCGGAATGATATTTTTGCGAAGACGCCACTTTACTCTTAAGTGCCAACATATTACACATGGAATGCATCAGCGAAAAGTTTTCAACGTCACAAACAGGGTAAAGCATTTGAAGAAAACCCCAATTTATATTCGTCTGACGCATTAGGCCATCTGTACACTGTACACCCAAACAAAGCAGAAAGCTTTTACTTGCGATTACTTTTAATCAACGTACGTGGACCAACATCCTTCGAAGAACTGAGAACAGTAAACTGTCAAGTATGTGCCACTTATTGGGAAGTTTGCCAAGAATTAAAACTTTTGGAAAACGATACTTATTGGGATACTTCGCTCTCTGATGCATCGAATATTGCTCAACCACAGGAATTACGCACTTTCTTGGCATTCATACTGACAACTTGCTTCCCATCCAATCCAAAAGATCTTTGGGATAAATACAAAGACGACATGAGTAAAGACATTCTACATCATTTGCAGGCTACGAATCAAAATCCGGGCATTAAATCTATACCAAACGTGTATAACGATGCATTTGTTTCGATTGACGACATATTTTTGGCAATCTCTAACAAAGTACTTTTAGAGTTGGGAATGACTTCTACTAATCGATCTGCCAACAAGCTTTTTAATCGTGATTTGCAACGAGAAACGCACTTTGAGATCGAAGAATTAGGTACATTTGTTCAGATGAATCTTCCGAAATTGGCACTGGAACAACTCATAGTTGATGACAGAATTATGCATGCAATTACCAGTCAAAGCGGTGGACTATATTTCCTAGATGCGCCTGTAGGCACAGAAAAACTTTTCTAATTTCACTTATTTTGGCGACAATACGATCACAAAAAAATATTGCACTAGCTATCGCATCATCTGGAAATGCAGCAACTCTTTTGGATGGTGGCCTCAACAGCTGCTGATGAATTAAATGCATGTCTCAAATCATCAGATTTATGGCAACATTTACAGAAATCGACTTTGAAGACCAATATACGTGTACAACTACATAATGAATCATCCGCTGAACGTATTGCAAACCAATTGTTGGACATTGGGAATGGGAAAATGGCAATAAATGAATCCACAAAATATATCACTTTACCAACAAGCTTCTGTAAAATTACAGCAAACATTGACGAATTGGTTCAAAAAGTTTTTCCAAATATCGTACAATATTACAAAAGTCATCAGTGGCTCAGTGCACGTGCTATATTAGCAGCCAAAAACAGCTATGTCAATGCCATCAACTTAAGCATTCAAATTGAAATCCTAGGCAAAAAAGGGCAACATACGTTGATACTGTCCATCGATACTGTATTGAATTAAGACGAAGTTGTCAATTATGCAATCACTTGATTTATCAGGCATTTCATCTCACGTTTTAACACTGAAAATCGGCGTGTATATTATTATTTACGGAAACATAAATCCACCACGACTTTACAAGGGTAACAATTTTCCGGGGAAATTATGATTACTTACTATATATATATATATATATATATATATATATTTATATGTTACTTCCTTGTTACAAATTGATTTCAACGCAAACATTTCTTTATTCGATTTAACGTGTTCTCTGCCTTTATTTCATCAGTACTTTTCTTCTTTGTGCTGTTGGCCGGTTCAAAACATTTGTTCCGGCGATACGCTCTGCTTGCTCAGTTTGTTTCGTCCTCAAGATCTCTATGATTCAACTTTTCTTGAGTTGGGTTACATTTCTTTTTTTAAAGAAGTCGGCCCTGCTTACTCAGTTGTAACAATATTAAATTGAATCATATCCAACATGGCTCTGGTTGATACAGGAACGTCTAGAGATAAGATCCATGAATAGGGGTGGATAATTATACGAAAAAGTGTGTGTGTGTGTTTGGAGGGAGGACTGCATTCAAAGTAGGAAGAATGAAAAACGGGAATCCTGAAAAGGGCACAACGAATCTAAGGATTCGTACGATCCCCCTAAGTATTTGGCACCGACGTGCAGGTCAAAAAGTTAAAGATTAGGGCAGTTTTTCATCTTGTTAGCCACAAGTGACACGGCTACGAGTAGCAACTTGAGTGTAAAACTAATAAAAATAAGGCAAACAATCGACATGATAGTGCGTAGTTTTAATATTCACATTGCTCTTTTGAAACGAAAAACGTCATCTTCAACTGTTCAGATACGGCTCAGAAACCAACCCACTGAGACCCAGCTACTTACTAAGTACGGGGACACAGGACAACTAACTCTACAAATACGAGGACACATAACAACTAACTCTACAAATACTAAGACACAGGACTACTAACTCTACAAATACTAGGACACAGGACTACTAACTCTACAAATACTAGGACACAGGACTACTAACTCTACAAATACGAGGACACAGGACTACTAACTCTGCAAATACTAGGACACAGGACTACTAACTCTACAAATACGAGGACACAAGATTACTAACATTACACATACGAGGACACAGGACTACTAACTCTACAAATACGAGGACACAGGACTATTAACCCTACAAATACGAGGACACACGATTACTAACACTACACATGCGAGGACACATAACTACTAACTCTACAAACACGAGGACACAAGATTACTAACACTTAACATACGAGGACACAGGACTACTAACTCTACAAATACGAGGACACAGGACTGCTAACTCTACAAATACGAGGACACTGGACTACAAACTCTATAAATACGAGGACACAGGACTGCTAACTCTACATATACGAAAACAAAGGACTACTAACTCTACAAATACGAGGACACATGACTACTAACTCTACAAATACGAGGACACGGGACTACTAACACTAAAAATAAAACTAATAATAATTATTAAGTTTATTTAAAAATCACTCGGTACAAAGTCAACCATTTTAAAGAGAAATGAAATAATATATATTTTACCACGTTGAAATATAAAACTTAACATTACAAATATTACATACGAGCATACCAAATCTAAGTCTCTAATACCTTGCAACCATAAACAACACAAGCCAATATACATCTAGGAGATAATATTATTAGCTAGCTGGAAAAGATGGTAGATTACATACCCAAGCAGGTGTTTGCAAAATAAATGTGTTTTTCAAATCGGTTTTGAAGGAGTCCAGTGTCTGACTGCTTCTGAGAGCGACCTGAAGGGTGTTCCAAATTGTTGGGCCAAGCAAATGTGAAAGTGCGCCTTCCGTAAGTCTCAAGGCTAACACGTGGCGTCAAGAGTTTGCAGGACTACCAGCGCTACAGTCTCTTTATCACTACCACGAAGCCTGCAGTACGTGCCATGGTCACACACTTTTTCATTACCTACTATTTCTTATTGGACGTTTTAAAAAAAAATCGAACCAGAGGACTACCAACATAACTCACGCAGGCCAAAATACGTTAACATAACAATTCATCAAACTTAAATGTGAACAGAAAGCCTTCTGAAACCAAGTCAAAATAAGTGAATCACAAATGTTAAGTAAAGTAAAATTACTTAACTTAAAATTCAAGAATAATTTAAAAAAAAAAAACACACCAAGAAAAACTACAACACTTTTTACGGGCTCAGTTATGTTAGAGTATTTTATTTTCTTGTTACAAGGCGCAGTCTTGCTCTCGACACGTCTTTTTTTTCTCTGTGCAGTCTTGCTCTCGACACGTCTTTTTTTTCGCCGTGCAGTCTTGCTCTCGACACGTCTTTTGTTTCGCCGTGCAGTCTTGCTCTCGACACGTCTTTTCTTTCTCTGTGCAGTCTTGCTCTCGACACGTCTTTTGTTTCGCTGTGCAGTCTTGCTCTCGACACGTCTTTTGTTTCTCTGTGTGCAGTCTTGCTCTCGACACGTCTTTTGTTTCGCTGTGCAGTCTTGCTCTCGACACGTCTTTTGTTTCTCTGTGCAGTCTTGCTCTCGACACGTCTTTTGTTTCGCTGTGCAGTCTTGCTGTCGGCACGTCCGTCTTTTTAAAGTGTCCATATCCAGGCTTGCCCCTACCTTGTGCTACTTATTTCCATGTTACAGGAGTTCTTGTGTTAGAGCCAGACATACATTGTGCCTTATATAGAGCAGTAACTCGCTTGTCTTGGGCCAGATCAGAGTAACTGCATAGTAAATGCCATACAGTAGTTGTAGTTCAGATAGAAACAACGAATGTAAGAATTTAGTGGGTTTTTTTTTTTTTTTTGGTGGGGGGGGGGAGGGGGATATGAATTTTTTTAATCTACCATATGTTCCTATTTTAATTTAACAGTTAGTTAACAGACAGAATGACATAATCAGATCAGAGTAACTGCATAGTAAATGCCATACAGTAGTTGTAGTTCAGATAGAAACAACGAATGTAAGAATTTAGTGGGTTTTTTTTTTTTTTTTGGTGGGGGGAGGTAGGGGGATATGAATTTTTTTAATCTACCATATGTTCCTATTTTAATGTAACAGTTAGTTAACAGACAGAATGACATAAATGAAAAGTCTAGAATCTAATGGTCACTATGGTTTATTTATTGACAAGTTAACATTATAACGATATGATACTTTAGCAATAAATCATGAACATATGCATATTATTTTATATTTTTCTCTGTGATCTTTTCACATTATCTTCTATCCACATACATATACACAATTGAATACATTTTGATAAATGTTCATTTAGTTTTTGTTGATACCAAGATAAATTAAATAAATTACAATATAATGCATACACCATCTAACGTAATTATCTAAGAATATTTGTAGATGAAACACAAAGGCATCCATTTGATCTCATGCTTGTAGGTTATGGCGGATGTAAGATAACTTCAATGAAATCCTTACGCATTAATGGGGCCCATGGGTATGTACATTGAAATTTAATTAGGATTTGATTCCAAAGATACTAAGAAATATTATATACACCAAACCAATTTCTTTAATATCCCTTGGCCTCTAAAGATGCTTTATCGCCTGCTTTTCTTTCGTTTCTTCGGCGTCGTCTAGAGGAAATGAAAGTGGCATGGAAAAAAGCGCATCTTGAAATGTAGTTGACTAATGACTACTAATGTACTTAAAAAATGTCAAGGTGGTGTAAGTTAATAAATAGTAAAGGTGGGATTGTTTCTACAGGAAAAGTTATTAAAGAAGGTTTGGTAAAACCCGGGGAAAAGGGCCCAATAAAACAAGACAATTTTTTCATAGGTTTTCCCAAATCTTGGTTCAGACATTTCCTTCTAATTAAATCCTTGATTGAATTCTCTTTCCCCTTATTATCATTTATACAGTTTTAAATCACATTTAAACAAATTAATTAATAATTTCAAATAATCACAAATTATCTAAAATTTTACTTAATTTATGTAACACAATTAGCGACAGATATTTTAAATAGTTTTTTTTTCAAGTTAATAAAATGAAATACAAACATCTAAACGTTGTTACTTAATGCTTTTAATAAATCCTAATATTTTGATGGTTCTTGTGTCTTAAGTAAAATAAATAAAATCATGGCTCGAGTAGATCATAAGAATTTAATTAGAATGTCACAAAAAATTCACTGATACAATTTTAATTTTAAAAATCTTAAATTGGTTATGTCCCGTAGTATCTAGAAAACGTGTTGGCCTATACGTTGGATTCGTTGCTTAATTTCTTATATATTTCAAGCAACTTTCCCTTTGCATGTGTCACAAACAAAGGGTGGACGAGACATTGAGAACAGTAAATGTGGAACATTTAAAGAACTAAGGAAACTTCAGGACCATGACCGGTGGGAAGTCGCATAGAATAAACTTAGAGTCAAAATAAACACCCTTACCTCCAGTATGTAACGTCAGCAATGATCAACAGCGTTATGATGAGAGCAATGATAATAGGGGTGGCTACAGCAGCGGGAATGGGGTGGGACGGTGACCTTTTGCTGTCTATGTCTGCAGGTAAGGCACGAGAAAAATACATTTCAGATACGCATTGAAACAAAACAAAAAACAAAACAAAAAATACAAAAACAAGTACTATTCATCAATACCCAAATTACTATCACAAATATTATTTTCAAAAGTGTGGTCAAGTATTGCACGACCAGATTGAACACAAAATACGTGCAAGCTAATCAAGGGCTGAGAAATCGTTCACTTCAAATATCATCTGTTTTGCTAGAGAACATCAATGATCTATCGATAAATGGGATGTTCTGAGTAAACTTTTGTTTTAAATATAAGCCTAGTTACCAGCTACATGTAAGCCTACTTAGCACCCACCTGTAATCCTAGTTAGCATCAACTTATAAGCCTAGTTACCAGCTACATGTAAGCCTACTCAGCACCCACCTGTAATCCTAGTTAGCATCAACTTATAAGCCTAGTTACCAGCTACATGTAAGCCTACTCAGCACCCACCTGTAATCCTAGTTAGAATCAACCTACAAGCCTAGTTAAAACTCCCCTATAAGCCTAGTTACCAGTCCCCTATAAGCCTAGTTAACACTCATCTTTAAGTCTAGTTATCACTCACATATAAGCCTAGTTACCACTCACCTGTAAACCTAGTTACCACTCTCCTATAAGCCTAGTTACCACTCACCGATAAGCCTAGTTACCACTCACTTATAAGCCTAGTTACCACTCACCTATAAGCCTAGTTACTACTCACCTATAAGCCTAGTAACCACTCACCTATAAGCCTAGTTACCACTCACTTATAAGCCTAGTTACCACTCACCTATAAGCCTAGTTACCACTCACCCATAAGCCTAGTTATCACTCCCCCATACGTCTAGTTACCACTCACCTATAAGGCTAGTTTCCATCAAACTATAAGCCTTGTTACCACCAATCCATAAACCAACTTATAAGCCTAGTTACCACCAATTTATAAGCCTAGTTACCACTCACCTATACGCCTACTTAACACCAATCTATAAGCCTAGTTACCACTCACCTATACGCCTACTTAACCCCAATCTATAAGCCTAGTTACCTCCAACTTAAAAGCCTAGTTACCACCAACCTATAAGCCTAGTTACCATCAACCTACAAGCCTAGTTACCACAAACCTATTAGCCTAGCAACCCCCAGCCATTTTGTTTTTCAATAAATCAACCAAAAATTAACTTCCCAAAGCTTGACATATGGGATATATCTCAACCATCAGTCGTAACGCCATACTGCCCGCAGAAGCGTAGGAGGGGGACGGCCCACTCGTCTTCGACATATTCGGCAAACGGCACAGTTTTACACTTTGAGGGGGGGGGGCGATATTTTGGCACCGCCCCAGGCGGCACAAATCCTAGCCACGCCACTTCATTCACACAATACAGTAGTCTAGCGGCGTGGTAAATTCAACCATTAATTACACTACATATATCTACTACATTTTCGGAACACCTTCGCCACATTGAGAAAAAAATAAAATGCCCCGCAACTCCCCCCAAAACACTTCTCATGTGTCCTTAACGGTATTTCTATCCTTCCCCTTCCCCCCTATACGGCTACAAGGATCTGGATCGAGAGAAACATAAATGGCGTTTTGTTAAACTGACATCACCTGGTATAACATTAAGTCGTTACTTGATTTACATACACGCATTCTCCGCCCACTGTTCGTTGAGAGCCAATGAACTTCCACTTAAATATGTTCTAATTCCCTATTCAAGTCTTTGCTTCACTTTCATTCCTCGATTCACTTCGCTAAGTTTATATACTCTTCAAGGTTGTTTTACAATTTCTTTCCGTTTCAAACTTTTTTCGTCAACGTTTTATTGCTGTGTGTATCATTACATACACACACACACAAGCATATCAAGTTGCAGCATACGGTGTGCATATGATTTTTATTTGTAAAACAACGGTAGTACCCCCGCCCCCCCCCCAAATAATGTACTATTAAAAAAAAAATACATTAAAATATAAAACACAATTTTTTAAAATTCCTGGTTTTCTATTTTTATTTTCATCTCTTTTAGTATTTCATTTACTATTTATTTATGTTTGCCATGAAATTATTACTTTCTGGTAGTAAAATCAATATTTCTCATAGATAAAAACAAAAAACGAATGTGTGCATGCCATCTGTTTCTTCAATATTTGCATATTTTAAGACAAAAATGTGTTTTTATATTGAACATTTTCCCTATCATCAATATACTAAATGATTTTTAATTTCACTCATATTATGAATATGATCACATCTAAGTTATATGTTTAATATAAAAATACCATTAATAATATAGGAATGGATGACCAATAGTGTACACAATAAACGAATGATAGACGAATAGCTTCCAGAGTATGCACACGTTTGTTTTAAAATTTAAAAAAAAAATGTAACCAGTCTATTTTATAGCATGAAGTTATGTTCACCATGCTGACCTTTGTCACATGAAGCACCGACATATCCAGCATTGCAGCCGTCCAGGCAGATTCCTGTTGCACTGTCACAGGAAACGTTAAGACACTGAAGCGGGCAGTCTTGTGTGCAGTCACCACCCCATTGCCCGGGGGGACAAGCTAAAACAAAATGACGCAACTAGTATGTAAAGAAAGATAATAAGCAAACCTTAAAACATAGTTTTTCATTTAAATATTTTATCAAATGTAATATCGAGCAATGGGGATGAGGTTGAAAAATTGACATAACACGCATACAAGTAACGCACATAATAAGAATCCCATTTAGTGTCCCCCCCCCCCCAAGGCTCGTAACCACATATTTTTTCACGCACAAGAACTATATTAACATTATGATAACCCCCTTCCATCTTCCTGACCCCCCACCACTTTTACATCGTAGATTTATTTCATCAAGTATTTTATAAAAACAAAAGAAAATATTACGCAACAAACGTACTTGCGATATTTTTTAAAAACCTAATCTCATTTAGCGTAGTTATTGATAATTTTATGTCGTGATACACGTGTCACCATATTTCCTTGATCTTATCCATGAAAAGAGTGGGGTTTTTTTGTGTTATTTTTTTTTTTTTTTTGGGTGGGGCGTTATTGGGCTGAAAATGTAAGAGAATGTTTGGTTGTCGGAAACAAGATTATGTGCCAAGTTTTAGCTTGATAAGATGGGAAGTGGGTCAATTAGCCTTTCGTAGATATTTGCAAGTATGCCACCCAGTCTGCCACCCAGTCTGACACCCAGTCTGCCATGAACAACAGCAAATTTATTTAAATGATTTAAACATATCAAGAGGTTTTTTTATTTATTTATTTTTTAATATTTTTTTTAAGAACTAATTTCAGGAGCGATAGAAATCTAGTAATTACATTTTAAAACGGCTTGAAATATTATTACGTTATTGGACCATGCAAATCATTTGAACCTACCAGCAGCTATCAAGGTTATCAATGGAAGTATACTTAAAGCTGATCTCAACCTGTACATTTTAGTCCCCGGCTTAAAGTTTGGCTGTGGACGTTACATTTTTGTGGGGATACATTTCCTGGTGAGGAAAATAAGAGACAGCCTCAATAAATATGTTACGCACTCGCCTCTAATATGAGAAATTAATCTCCAATTTTAATTGTATTGGCTCGTTGGCAACAGTGCCTAACAAAGGACGATATCATAGAGTCAACATTATTAAAGATACGACAACCGAGACAGTTGCAAGTTACAATTAATATGATTCAATTTAGTAATAAAACAATAACAAAAAAAAAATAAATATAATTATAAATCATCAACTGACAGTATGGTATATGTTGTACCGGTACACAGTTAACACAGTTAGTACAATGTGCCAATGAATATTGATGAATGAAGAATGCGAATGAACACATATAAATACACAAAGAATAATACACGCCTCGTAAAGTTAATAATATATATCTGAATCTCTGTCTCTCCCTGTGCCTGTCTATCCTTTATATATGTGGGTCTACCGACGCGTAAGCCCTGCCTTCCAGAAGCTACTCAGCATGTGTTTACATTTCTAGAACAAATTGAGATCATTCGGAAAGATACTAGGAGACAGTCTAACCATGTTTAATTGGTAAACACGATATATCAAAAGAACTAGCCCCGCCTATCTATGAAGCGAGCGTCTGCTTAAGAATCTAATTTAAGGTCAATCAAAGTTCACGCACGGGGAAATCGTGTAAAACGGTTTACTTAGCAAAGTATTTGTGCGAGTATATCCCGAAGAATTCTTTAATCCAAATATTAGTTATACAAGTAACGCATTTTGTTCAACTGATTTTGAGTTAACTTAAAATATTCACTCAGGTTGCATAAGTTCAAGAATTAGTTGAGTTTCTCATTGAATTATACGAGCGGTTCTCAGCCTGTGCATGTTAAGCAGATGAAAGGGGATAATTAGGGAATTTTATACTATAAATTTCTTATCGGCAGAATATATAACGTCAACGGCACCGCAAAATTCAATTAGCCCAAGGCCCCGCACCCTACTAGCGCCGGCCCACGGTGTTGCCACAACATGAAGAACTGTATTAAAAGGTCGCGACATTAGGAAGGTTGAGAACCACTGAATTATACATTTCCTACGAAAGAGTTTTATTTTAACAAGCTCTGCTTTGTGGTCAACAATTCATTCAGATTTTTCATTTAAATTTCAATAACATTCATTAAAACTTTATTCCTAAATATTATTCATGGGAACTGTGCATTTAAAAATAAAATAAAAGGGAAATACCAAGAAAAAATTGTTATCCACAAATCATAACCTAAAAGAAATAATTTAAAACACATTCATGAATATATAAAGTGCTATTCTACTACAATGTTTTATTAATAGTGAGTATGACATCAGCCAGTAAAGGTGGGGCGAAGAACGTAATATTTCAAATAATTTTTTTTAGCAGAGTTCAGTTAGAGACGATCTTTGTAGAGATATCATTTTGTTAGTGCCTACTATTGTAGAGATATCATGCTGTGGAAGACTTTAATTTTGTCAGAGACTATCTTTGTAGAGATATCATTTTGTTAGTGCCTACTATTGTAGAGATATCATGCTGTGGAAGACTTTAATTTTGTCAGAGACGAATGAGGCCATCGTAAACGACGAAGATATACACACACCCGCTAATACCTAACCAGTAATAATCTGTGTCAGCAACGTCACGGGTCTAGAAGGGTGTGAGGTGCACTTATCTCGGACAGAGTTTAATAAAAGTATATATTTTGTGTTTACACACTTGTGATTATTGGAAAAGGGGAGAAAAGGGGGGGGGGGTAAGCGTGACGTCATTTCTGGATTGGACCCATAAAAAAATTTCAATTTCCTTTTTTTACAATTTATTACTTTTTTACTTGACTTAAACATTATCTTTTTTTACAAAATTCATTTGAGCCCTTAAAATGAATTTAGAGCTCTATAAACCTCATTTTTAACTAGATATTATTCACGATAACTTGGATTTTTAACTTCGTCTTTTTAGTTAACAATGATCTGGATTAAAATACGGAAGTTATGGTTCTTAAAAATTCATAGAGGCCTTAGGCTTAGGCCTTTCAAAACTACCCCCATCCAGTAATTTATATGACTTTAAGTATTAGTAGGCCTATCTGCAGTAAGTACTGAATTCATAGGCCTTTTAAAACTACCCCCATCCAGTTATTTATATCACTGTCAGTATTAGTAGGCCTATCTGAATTAAGTATCCAAGCCAAATGGTTGGGCAGGCGGTGTACACATTCAATCATGCCCAGCCGGTGAACGTGTTTTGGCTTAGCTTCCCATGGGTATTGTATTGCGACCTTATTATGCTAGCAACATCAATTGTTTACTTTACATCAGTAGAAGTAATGTCTGTTCGTGTGCGCTTAAACAGAAACGTACACTTACAGGAACGAGAAAAAGGCATAGCTAATCTAAGGCCTATTTTTTTCTCTCTTCACGGTTCTCTCTAGTTCAGAGTCGAGAATTACAGTTACAGGCACTAGTTTTGTGTTCAGTCAAGCGTTTGCTTTGGGAGAGTCAGCCCCCACCGTTAGGTAGTCGAGTTTTCAGAGCAACGGCACAAAAATCATTAATCCACCAAATTAACTAAAATGTTAGTCCATTTTGTAATGAAAATACTAAATCTTAATGATCACAAATGAACAGCAAGGAACAAATCATTTAACGTATACATTTCTTTGGTGTTGATTTTTTTTGTTTAAGGTAGGCCAACTTACCGGTAAATGTGTAGTTCAGATTGCAACACTGCTGACCTAGATTGTTGGCTATGCCAGTAGAGCATACCTGATCTCACTTTGCACTCATGTCAACACACTACCGTTGTGACATTGAACACATATTTTTAAAAAAGAGATCCGTTTTGACTATAAGCTACCACTATGACATTTAACACATAGCGATATATCCGTTGGACAACACACTACAACTACAGCTATGACCTTAAACACATAAATTTAATTGAAAGATCCCTTGGACAACACACTACCACTCTGACACTGGCCTCACTACACTCTAACACTGTAACATAAAACCCTTTTAGATCTAGAGCATCTATACAGATTATCATTGGACAACACACTGTCACTGAGTCATTGAACACAGATATTATACGTCCATTCGACAACACACTACAACCGTGGCACGAACCACAATTTCATTTAGAGATCCTTGGACAACACACTACCACAAATACAGATATGCCTTGGACAACACACTACCACATATACAGGTATCACTTGGACAACACACTACCACAAATACAGATATCCCTTGGAAAACATACTACCACATATGCAGATGTCCCTTGGACAACACACTACCACATATGCAGGTGTCCCTTGAACAACACACTACCCCATATACAGATATCCTTTGGACAATACACTACCACATATACAGATATCCCAATAACAGAAACATTGCAAATCCCATCTACATGCATAGTAGCCAAAATGATCAATAAATTGATCGTGGGCCCTTAAGATATAGAAGAAGAAGAAGACAACACACTACCACATATACATATATGCCTTGGACAACACACTACCACATATACAGATATCACTTGGACAACACACTACCACAAATACAAATATCCCTTGGAAAACACATTACCACATATACAGATGTCCCTTGGAAAACACACTACCACATATGCAGATATTCCTTGAACAACACACTACCCCATATACAGATATTCTTTGGACAACACACTACCAAATATACAGATATCCCAGTAACAGAAACATTGCAAATCCCATCTACATGCATAGGAGCCAAAATCAATAAATTGATCGTGGGCCCTTAAGATATAGAAGAAGAAGACAACACACTACCACATATGCAGATATCCCTTGGACAACACACTGTCGCATTGAAAGCATAGACAGTGCCTCTATGGGCTTGGACAGAACACCTTCACTGTGACATTAGAGATTCCTTGGGACACAGCTTCACCATGACATTAGAGATTCCTTGGGGCACAGCTTCACTGGGACATTAGAGATTCCTTGGGACACAGCTTCACTGTGACATTAGAGATTCCTTGGGACACAGCTTCACTGTTACATTGAACATATTGTTCCTTAATCTGGCTCTGTTTCAATCTTCTCTGAATCGAGCTTAAATATCACAGTTTGATCCGTGCGTCAGGATTCATGATATCTATATATTTTATATTCAGAGATATATGATCTAGGACATGCAGTTATAAGCAGGTCATCAACGGAAAAATCAAAACTCAGAACACATTCGTAATGATATTTATTTATTTTATTTTTCAAAGTATTCAAAGTGTAACACATTGTATTTGAAATAAATATATTTTAAATATTTATTGGTTGCATGCATGCATCTATACCGCGCCATTATGCGTTATTCTCTTTAGTCGTTATGCATGAACGTCTGCAAGGTGGAGGGGAGCAAGTTGGTGAGGGGTGGGGCAGGGTCTTACTTGGCTTTTGCAAAAATTTTGTCAAAATAGTAAAAATTCGTCAAAATACCAGTCAATAACTTGAAATTAACTTAATTTTTCAGTCATTCAGCCTACTAAAGCCTACAATAACATTGAAATAAATAAATTACGATCATATTTATATTCGTGGAGAGCTGATCTATACAAAAACGGCATTTTGTGTTGACGTCCTCATATTTATTTTTCAAAAATAATTTGTCTCCGCACCTCTTTTTTTGTTGCGAAAACGCGTGCCCCCCCATACCCCCCCACGCCCCCCCCCCCTTAATTTTTTTGGGTGGGAACAAATTTCTTCGGAGGTCTACAAACGCTTACGTTTTACCAAATCAGATGAGACAGAAGTAATATAATGAAAATGGGAGTTAGGGTAACTAAGGGAGTGAAGCCATCTCTTGAATGATTCTTTAACATCGAGTTAACCCTTTCTAGGCTCCCATTGTTAGGTTCTGATTCAATGTGCAGCAGATGACAAATTAACGGATAGATGTCCACGGACTGAATTGGGTCGACTGTGACATTGACCTTGAAAGCCGGTCCACTGGCAATAAAGATGGGTTTCATGCTGATGAGTTCGTTGTCGTAACCATGGTTACCTTTAAAACCTGTATTCGCAAGCTCAGCGGTCTGTGTGGTATTCTGTGTACAAGAGTCAAACACATACTAATCACTCACAGGGGTTTTTGTGTACACGTTTTTGTATGTAACTTACTTAGACGTGATAGCGATAAGTTTCTTAATAATAAATGAAAAAGCCAATATGTCATAATATGGAAGGAAAATTAGAATACATCTTGTTTTTTGGTGTTTTTATTTCTAGAAATAACTTTAAATTTAAATTTTAAATATGTATTATTACAACTTTCCAAAAAGTTGCAAATGTATTTAAATAGATTAATAAGACGAATAATTTGTGTGAATAAAACAAAATTTGTAAATCTTCAATTATGATGAGCACAAATAGAAAACCATTTGAAGCGTTTCGGCAAATCTCTTCATCAGTACAACAACAAAAAAATCATTTTATTTTAAAGTAAAATGCATTTAAAATTTGAACTACACGTACATGTATTTTAGAATAAGTTAAAACTCCGCCCAACTAGGACAGTTCACAAGCTTCCAGAAGTAAAAAAATGCCAACCAGACGTCTCATTGATGAGTGAGTGGTTCTCAACCTTCCTAATGCCGCGACCTTTATGGACAGTTTCTCATGCTGTGGTGACCCACCAACCCTGAAATTATTTTCGTTGCTTATTCGTAAATTCGTGTTCTCCGAACGTTTTAGGCGAGCCCTGTGGAAAGGGCCAGCACTCCAGATCATGCATCAGTGGTTCTCTTGTTCGCTATTGCTGAAAGTGACCTCGCTCACAACATGATTATTTCACGGGTTAAACGATTAGTTTTTTATATGCCCTCAGATTTTCAGGAAATTTCTTTTTACGCCAGCAGAGTTCAACTCAAAGGGAAGAAAAAAATGGTTTCTGTCACATGACTTTAGCAACATGATTATGGCGACCTGACTATGGTCAGAGGATTTTTTTGCAATTTAATTAACACTTATATGCAATGATTATAATCCATTTAATCTCACTTAAATCAAAAACAATTGGTGCAATCAATCTAAAAACACAAACAGTTTGTCGTGAAACTTTACGAATCGGCTCTAGCTGTTCCTAAAATTAAAATCGTTGACCAAGTGCAATTTGCATTGGAATAGTATTTGTCTGCAAATTAAATATAAATATTTTTTTAATCAATGCGCAATTGATTTGATATTACCAGTCATAGATAAATGAAAAATATTGCATATATATTTATTACCATTGTAACAAAACTGTTAAAGTGATCTCAAACCAACTTCCTTCCCGTTATTAAAAAAAAAACAATAATTCTTCACTCAGTCTCTATAATAAGCAGTTGAATGTATTTAGTTTAACAGTAAACAATTATGGAAACTAAAACCTAAAACATATATTTCATTCTCGGTCAAGCATCTCTCCTACGAGCGGTGCACACGGAGTTCTACCTACCATCGTCATGGTCCATCCCTCGTCGGCATAGGCGAAGACAGAGAGGGCTCTCCTGTTGTGTTTTAAATGGAATCTCTCTGGAATGTCTCTTCGCAGCATGACGTGGATGTGCTCAACCTTTGACAACGCAGCAACAACGTCATCTTCTCTACCCTTGTGCGGTAGCAGGTTAAAAGTGGATTCTTGGTCTACCACTGCTTCGAGCAGCGATCTATTCACATACAAGGATAGATCGACTAACTGAAATGATTTATTAATAGTGATAAAAAAAATATGACGTGATGTGTCTGTTGTTTTAATTACTAATTTTTTAAAATTATTTTTTTTTACAAGGCTGTATAACAAAGCTCGGTCGTAGCTTCATGAAGATTCTAGAATGTATTCTTTAAATTCGTGACGGACTAAATAATAACGTGTTCCCGCTTCATCTGTTATCATCTTCTCCTATGAGATCGTTCATGTGTACTGATAAGTGCAGAGTCAAATTCAGGGTGATAAAATTAACAAAGACCAACATTGCTAAATAAATAAGTATCTCTTTAAATAAAAAAAATTATAGTTAGCAATTTTAAAGTATGAGCATTTTAATTCTTTTGTAAATAAGTAGTTCGAGCTTTAAAATAAGAATGTCTCACACGTTGGCATGAAACTCACGTGATGCACATTTACAAGTTTCCAATATTTACCTTGTTTTCCAAGTCTATAGATGTCATCCCATGATCGCTGGTAACAATCAAGTTAACTTTGTCCTTGTGTAAGAGAAGGGGAAACTAGCGTTTAATTAAAAATTCTCCAGATATTTTGACATGAAATGAAATGTTTAAAATTTCTTTGGAAACCGCTTTATTTTGGATGGAGCGTGCTAAAAAAAAAACAACAAATAATTGAATCCCCCAAAATGTTGGATGAATTTATCTGATCAATCAATGAAAACCTGACCTAGAGAACTAACAAAATGTATCAATAATTTTTAGGTTATGAAAAGTCGTCATAAATGTAAATAATAACATGTGCAATGTTAAATATAAGCAATATCATATCTAAATGTTACATTTCAACAATATGATATGTAAATGTTACATGTAAGCAATATCAAATGTAAATGTTACATGTAAGCAATATCAAATGTAAATGTTACATGTAAGCAATATCATATGCAAATTTTAAATTCAAGCAAAATCATAATAATATGTAAATGTTAAATCTGTCTGAGTTTTCCGTAAGAGTTGCGTTACCATGAGTCCTGCACTTTCAATCTTATGTATGAGGTATCCTATTATTGAGTCCATCTCTTCAATGACCTGAATCAGTTTAGGATCCTCTGGGCCAAAGTGATGACCAGCAAGATCAGGCTCATCAAAGTGTAACACACCGAGATCGAAGTTATCCTCGGACATCCACGCCATCACCTTATCCACGCGCCCTCGGGGCGGCATCGGCTGGCTGTAAGATATCCACTTGTTTGCTTGTTGTCCATATATGGAGACATCGCTGCCTGGCCAGGAGCAAACCCCTGCATGACATGAAGATTTCGAAGCAGACACAGGTAAGCGTTCATGGCTTGATAAGTTTATATAAATAAATTTATTACAAGGAAACTATTTTGGATATTACAAAAAAAATAATTATAAAAGAAAAGAAATTAAAATTAAACATACAAA